CCGTCCTGGTCACTTGGCACACAGCCCCCGGGATGGTGGGTAGGAGGCTCTGGCGGGTGCCCAGGCTCCAGGCCGGGCTGCCAGAGACAGAGCCAGTTTTCTGTGCTGTTCCACAGCTCGGACCTGATCCCTGGGTGGCACTGGGGGCACAGGTGATGGGTATGCAGCCAGAGGGAGTGGCCAGGATGTCCCTTCGCCGCCAGCCACGCTCATCCGGGGCACGGTGCCCACCCTGCCCTGGGGAACAGCGGAAGCTGAAGACAGTGTGTCCCCTCTTTCCCCTTGGGCTGGCTGGCTGGCTTGGGCTGGGCCGGTAGCCTGAGGAGAGCTCTGGATGTCCCAGGATGGGCCCCTCTAGAGGCTGCGCTTGTTGACCCTCCAGCTCCCTGTCCCCCACGCCCTCTGCATGTGGCATTTCCAGTGTGGCTTCTCCGCCCCGAACCAGCATCCCCTCCTGGGCCCTGACCCGCAGGCTGCAGGGGCCATTGGGCCACGCTAAAACCCCTTTTCCTGTCTCAGCCCGAGAAGGAGCCAAAGGCCCCCTGCGCCCCGGCCGTGCCCAGGACCGTGCCCTGTGACCTCCTGCCTGTGCTGCCGTCCCAGATGCTGCCCGCGCGCCCAGCCTTTGGGCAGCCGCCCCTGACGCTTCCCCATTACCCCGAGCCGGTCCCAGGGCCGCCTGCAGCGGGCGGGGACATCTAGGGTCCCTGTGTGTGGTCGGCTGGGCTGGGCCACCTCTCCTGTCCCGCTTGGTCTTGGGGTGTCTGCTTCGAGCTGCGCCCCCTGTCCCGGTTTCTGTTTCGAAAGCAGCAGCTCAGGCTCCAGAGTGGAGAGGCCTGGAGCCCCCACCCGAGTCCTCACTACTCCCCCACTCCCTGGAGCTGAGGAAAACATTTACACTTGTTTTTTCCAGTTTCTTTAGAAACTGTTTTCCAAAGAGATCCACGTCTGCCAGATCCTGCCCTGGGCGGGGCCCTTGGCGATGCCAGCTGGGGGCTGGAAGGGGACTGGAGCTGGTGGAGCTCAGGCTCCTGCCTCCTGAGCAGGGTTCCCGTGGCTTTTCCTCCCCTCCTCTTTTTTAGAGGTATTGGGGATTGAACTCAGGGTCATGGCACTGAGCTCTATCCCCAGCCTTTTTGATTTTTGACGTGGTGTCTTGCTAAGCTGCTGAATTGCCCGGGCAGGTTTTAACTTGAGATTCTCCTGCCTCAGCCTTCCAGAGTGCTCTTTCGAGCACCACACACCACTGTGACGTCTGCGTGTCCCTCAGCCCCAGTCCACACCCCTCGGGGACAGTATCCCCCTATGGAGAATGCACAGTGGGAGAGAAGGAAGGACCTGCTGCCCCTGATGTCCTTGTTTTCTTAACAACCTAGTAATGCATGGGGCCCTTCCTTCCTCCCCTGCCCCACACCCACTAACACCCTCCATGTGGCACCTGCACCTCCAAATCACCTGTCCAGTGTCTTCCACAGCACTGGTCAGGGACAGCACCAGGTCAAGAGATGCCCGACCCAGAGTGTGGTCCTTGTTCCTTCCATGTGAAGTGTCTGGCTGAGGACCAGGTACATAGTAGGTGCTCAGTTAAATTAGTTCTGCAGCACTGGACATTGAACCCCAGACCTCTGCACTGAACTCCATCCCCAGCCCTTTTTCTATTTTTTATTTTGAATCAAAAGGTTTAAGTCACTGAATTTGTCCAGGCTAGGCTGGAGCTTGCAATCCTCCTGCCTCAGCTTCCCATAAATTGTAACCTTATACAGATCTCCTAAGTTCAGGGTTTGAGTGGAGGAATCTCCCTGGGTGTCTGGCTGGGCTGGGGGTGCTTGCTGGCAGTGGGGGCTGTGTGACTGCCCAGACCTGGTCATTAAAGGTAACTGGAAACCCAGCCTGCTGGGCATGGTGTTTCTGTTGAATAAAAATGGGAAAACAGAACAAGCCAGGCCTTACCCCTCCCCACTCCCTTGCTTCCTCCAGGCACCCTGCCAGGGAAGCGGGGGTGGGTGGTGGGGTGGAGGTGCATGGCCCCTGTGCCCACCCTGGGGCGTGGGTAGCAGCTGTTGTAGCAACGGACAGCCCCGGGAGGTCTTGAGTGCACTCCAGGGCTGTGAGTCACAGGGAACCTGTCTTGGGGGCTGGGAGAGCCCTTAGGGGAGGGGGACCCTGGGCAACTGCCCAGGGCTGAGGTCCAGCCCAGTTGCTGTTCCTTCCCTGCCTTGGCCAGAACGCCCCCGTTCTGGTGACAGCCATGGCCCTGGGGACCCCCCCATCCTGTGTCCCAGGGTTTAGCCCACTGGAGCCCAGGCCCAGAGCCAGTTTTCTCCAAAGCCCAGGCCAGGAAACCCAGCCAGCTTGGCCTGCTGGGGTGGGGCGGGGCAGGAGACAATGTGGATTTGTTTTCCAGCAGCCGGACTGCTTCCTGAGTATTCCCCGCTGACCCCCTCAGGCCTCCCCAGCCCATCCAGGTCTTGGAGCCCAGTGAGAGGCTTCTCTCTCCATCTGGTGGGCAGTGGCTGTCCTTTGGGTCGGGAGGCTGTGAAGCTGAGATCAGAAGTGTAACTTCTGCGGACAGGGTCTTGCTATGTATTGCAGCCTGGTCCTAAACTCACAGTGACCCTCCTGCCTCAGCCTCGAGTGTGGAGATGATAGGTGTGTGCCACCACGCCTGGTCAGAAATGAAACTTTTGCGATGCTGGGGGTACAGGTAAACTCTGGGTGGCGATGGATAAAGAAGTAGAGAGTTCAGTTTCCATAAGAGTCCAAAAATGATGCCCAAGGACTGATGGTCAGTCTCCAGGAGCAGGCAGGTGAGGGTGCTGAGAGAACACCCAAGTGTGCGCCTTAAGTCAGATGGAGCTCGGAGGAGCTAGCCCGCCCCACCTTACTACAGGGCAACACCGCGCGGAGCCTCGGGGAATAAGAGGCAGAGGGACAAACCCATTGCTCACACCCGACAACCTGGACCGGCTCACGACAGGTGGAGACTACAAGTCCCAGCATGCCCCGGGCACAGGCCTCTGGGGCTGCTGGGAGGAGTAGTCCTGAGAGCAAGCGGTTGGGTGCCCTGCAGAGCCAGTGGCCCGCGGGGAGGGGCGGAAGTTCCAGCAGTGTCCCCTTGTCCCTGCTAATGCTGTTGACAGGGAAGGAAGGAAGTGTGGGGGGAAGGTGTTCCCAGATACCAGTGTAAACCGGAAACCCTAAGGGATTAAGTGGAAGAGGAAGGAGGTGGGTGGAGACGGGATTTCTGTAGCAGGTGTGCTTACATCCGAGTCGCCTGTGCCCGGGGTGTGTGTACGTGTGTGCATGCGCGCCAGGGACAGGATGATTTCACGTTGCTCTATTTTCTCAGAAGATGGGATTTTCTTACAATTTTGGGAAATCATTTTCAGAAAACCCACTTTTCCCTCCGTCGTTCTGCAGTGCACAGGCTGGGCTTGAACTCCTGAACCTCCTGCCTCAGCCGCCACGTAGGCCTCTTGGTTTTTGTTGGGGACGGGGCTGCGGTGGGAGATCCTGACAAGAGCCGGCGTCCTTGAACGTTTTCCTCGATGGAAAAGCAGGATGGTGCTGGACCCTCAGGGGAAGAGGGAGACGAAGCAGCTAGCTCTGCACCCCAGGGTCATGGCTATCG